CAGCCGGCCCCCCCACCCTCCTGCCAGCACCTCACCCAACCCAGCCCTGCCAGAGGGGAGGGGGCAAGAGAGGGGTGCTCTGCGGGGAGGGGGAAACGAGGTGGGGAGAATGGTCATTATGGGGGAACCCAAAAAGGAGGATACTGCCAGAGACTGCTTCACCTCATGCCAGGGGAGAGAGTCACACAGGTGAGTTCCTTTCCCACCCCTAACCCCTCCCCTTCCCAGAGACCCCAGCAGCCAATCCCCTCCTTCAGACTGTGCTGCAGGCAGCACAGAGGCTCTCTAGGACCCAGAAGCCCTGCTTTTACATGTTCCACTGCTTCTGGTTCCTCCCGGCAGAGTGGAACCCCAGAAATACTGGTGCCCTATGCAACTGCCTATTCTGCCTATGCTCAGATACAGTCCTGAATACACACACTTCCAACCAGAGACAACAAGGGAGGAGAAGGTGGTAGCACGAGCCGGTGCTTGTAAGGAGCTGTTTTTAAGCAGGCTCACCATGAGCACCAGATTCACCTGTCCGCCTCTGAGCTGCTGCCTTTTATAGAAAGGCAGTGGCAGGGAGGGGGAGGAGGGTAGGCTGGATCTGATATGCAAGGAGAATCAGCTGTTGGCTCTCCAGGAGTGGGGCCAGGAGGGCACTGGCTGCTGCCCCTCCCCTGGGGACTATCAAAAAGTTGTGTAACAGATGAGGTTTCATGTGGTTACACAGCTATTTAATTACACTATATCTAATACTCCTACTATAAACACCACGTGGGAATGAGATGATACAAGATCCACCCCCCCACACAGCTTATGTGCTCTATATTTTAGTATAAATGGGGGAAGATAGTCCAGCCAGCAGTGTTTAGTATGTACATATTGCATGCTCCGTACACTGGACTGGATGCCCATCCAGGAGCCTCTTTATATGCCTGAGCGCAAGGCACAATGCTGTCCATGATGATCCAAGACACCTGTCATATTCCAATTCAAAATCTGCCAGGAGTCAGATGACAGCTTATGACACAGTAGACTAGTTTGACGGCTCAAGTACAAAGATGTCCAAAGCTGCACATTTCAGCTACAGTATATATATGTATGTGCATATAATCAACCATGCCTCTGCAGAATCTTCAGACACAAGACAAACAGAAGCCAACTTACTTGCAGCATTCCTCCTACTTGCATTTTAAACAGCACCTCAAAGCACTCTCCAAAGTAAACCTCACAACCCTCCTCTCCATTTGATTGCTGGACAAATGAAGAACCAAGGTGACATGAATGGTCTCAGTCATACCACAAGTCAGTGGCACACCTGGTAACAAACCCTAGCATTAGGCAGGCTCTCAATACATTTAAAAGGCAGAGTCACAGTGGGTTAGAGGATTAGCTCCCAGCCCTGGGAGCTAATCCCTCTGTCTCCCCCACTTATCAACTATTCAATGAACTAAATTTAACATTCCTATCCTATCAGAGGCTGGGAACCCACAGCAGCAGGGCTGGTGGCAGGGACCTCACTAGTGGTCATGAGCCTGCGACAGCTGCCAGGATCTCAGGAGTGGGGCAGAGCCCACAGTGAGGGCCAGCAACCCCTCCCTCCCACTACATCCACTAAAACATTTAACTGTGCAACCGATAAAATTTTGTTTGGTTACAAGGTTAATGTTTTTCTGTTTTTCACATCCCTACGCGCCATTATGTTACACAAAACAAAGCTTTCATACAAAATCATTCTGCCATTTTGGTTCAATGGTATGAACCAAATCCTACTTTTAATACAGACCCATGGGAACTGGACTGAGACCTACCAAACTCATGTCACAGAGGACACCCACTAAACCTATTTGTGGGTCTGACAGCACACTGATCTCTCCTGCTTACAGAACATACAGTAATGCATAGCCTTAGAGCAAGTGGCACTGAATGGAGAGCTGTCCTGAGCTACATTACAACAACAGCCTGAAAATGTGAGGGAGAAAATGCCATTCATTATGCACTGAATAAGCTCTGTGTAAACTCTGATATTCTTATTGCAGGATAACAGCGTGATGTAATTTTGCATAAATTCAGCCTTTTCTCTCCTAGCACTTCACATCATTTACAGCTACTATCAATGGACCTCTCAAAGCACCCCTAAGGGAAAAGGAGACTTAGCCCCATTCTACAGACTGGAGAACAGAGGCTGAGATGGAAAGCTTAAAATGCCCTGCTCAAAGTGAAACAGGATTCATGCAGCTGAGAACCCAGGAGTTTAGATTGCCAGTCCTATGCTTCCACTCCTAGTTCGGGGAAGCAGGCAGCACTTTGTACTCCCAGCATCACCTTAGTTCTCGATGGCACTCAGACATGTCACAGCTATCACTGTCTTTGTTGTTCCTCAGCTATCGGCCAGGCTCAATGCCTGACACCATCTTCATCTAGCCTTGGGATGTCCTTTGACATGACTGGCAGGCACTCGCTCATCTGCCCTGGTCTCCACTGCTCCATACATGGCAGTAAGGCTTACTGCAGAGACACAGATTGTTCATTGTTCCACCAGAGGGCCCCGCCTTCACAACCACATACAGCAAACAACAATGCAAGTGAGTGAGGGGGAAACAAAAGCTACCCTTCAAATTTCTCATGGTGCAAATGGATTGTGAATGAAAGCCAGAATAGAGCACCTCCAGTCCTATCCCTGACGGAGGCTCCTTATTACCCCGAGAAGCCAAACCAGGGGAAAGCTTGGTTCTTTTGGGTATGTGCGTGAGGAAAAAGGACAGGGAGAATAGAATATCTTGCTCTAACACCTCACTATCGATCAACTCCTCTAGGACCGGAAGAAACAATAACCAGCTATTATTGCAGTAAGGCAGGTCACTGAAGTTTGTGAGCCTTGGTGCTTGACATTCTGTCCTATTGACACTTCTACAGTATTTCTGAGAGCCCAAAGCATTCGTTTTTAGCATACGGACTTGCCACGCTCCTATTCAAGAGGTGGGTTCATCCACCTAACTAGAACAAAACATGTCCCAACACAGATGCGGTCAGTAAAATAAGTTTTTCCAAACACCAATAATTACTTCAGGATAATTGGAACACTTTGTAAATATACAAGTTAGTGTCCTCAAAAAAAGTTTTAATTTGAAAGAGGCATTTCCATAACAGACTCTCTATGCTTTAAATGAGCAAAAATGATCACAGATCTCATTCACTTCATGCATCAATGTCAGAACAGTTCTGGCCACAATTATTGCTATTTGTCTCCAGGCACAAGAGAACAGGACGAACAGAAAGCAGAGGCTGGTTTCTTACTAGACTATCTCTATCAAAAACAGCAGCTGCTGAGTTTTGTGCTTGGTATTGGCTCTGTCAGTGATGAGAATGTAAAGATACCAAAGAGCTATTTTCAATTCAAAGGTCTATGGGCCATCAAATGACAAACCATTCCATGGAAAAAGACATTTTGATCCTGAACTCATTTGGTGTCCCTTCAACTAAGGGAAATGACAGTTATGGCTCTGAAAGAATAATAAAAGCAAATAAGTTATATACAGGAGGCAGCACCAGTCCCTTTACTACTTCAGACATAAGGAGTGCACTAATGATAACAGATACAAATTGTGGCTCTCTGAACATTTCCTGTTATCAAAATCTCTCCCAACCTAATGATCTTTAAATGACATTTTGATGTGTGACTATAAGAGTGTCCAAAAATGCAGGCAAAGGAGTCTTACCTCTAGAACAAGGTAATACTTCTGTGATGGACTCAAAGCTATTGCTTCTAGAACGTTTTCACACTCATTAGAAATCGCATCTATTGAGGCAAGCACTGGGTTCATTATAGCAGGAAACTGAGAAGACAAAAATGAGACACATGAAGACAACTCTGTGGTATCCCATGGCGTCCCTGCACTGGAAGGTGGGCCAACCCCCAAGGCTGGACAATTCATGTGTCAGATTTAAAGCAGAAGCTGATCACATTTCAGAGGAAATGGGGGGTGGAGGGGAGGGAGAAAGAGTGAGGGTGTGATTTTGTTCAGTGACTAATGATGGTTTTTTCCTTAAACCCCAAATATCCTTGAGTTAGGGGATTTTTTAGAAAAATGAAAACAGACAACATTTCTAGCCATTCTGGTTGCAGAAACAAAACCTTAGCAATTCAAAAATGCAAAAAGCAAATTACAAGAGAAATAGTTAAAAAAAATACCACCACACACCTCGTGATTTTTAATGAGACTCTCTTGGTTCTTTGGAGCCTGACATGATTTTTGAATGAGTGAGGTTCATCCAACTGCTTGTCACCACAAAAGCAGGAAGATCATAGCAGGTCATTTCAGTTAAGAAAATAAAGTTCTGGCACAGAGTCCTGGCTAATCATGGGAATGAGGAGAAATAAATCCTTCATTTTATATCAGAATTGCAGAACAGCTGGGACTCCATGCCACTGAGCTTAGAAAGCTAGATATGGGGACAATTTCTGGAGGAGTCCTGTTAAGCTGACGTGATTGGGGTGATATAGTAACTCTAAAGTCAGGGTCAAATCCAACATACCACCTTAATGAGGATGTTTTGACCTACTCCTATTGGGAGGAGCTCTCCCCCCTCCCCAGTTAGATCCGCTCCCACTGATTATGCAGCAGTAAAACCAGGAGGAACAGAGTAATACCTCTGAACAACAGCTGCCAAGAAATCGATGTGAATGAAGTAATGCACACCCTGCTACCTCCATGGAAGAGATCCCAGGGTTACACAACTGCAGGTCAACTCTCCCCCATAACAGTTAGGGTATGTCTAGACTACAGGCTTTTGTTGACACAGGCTTTGTCGACAGATACTGTTGACAAAGCTTCTGTCGACAAAGAGTGTCTAGACTACATCCAGTTCTGTCGACAAAGCAAGCCACTTTGTCGACATGAGAGTGCAGATGCAAAGGACAGCGTAGATTCAATAACACCTCCTGTTGACAGAACTCTGTCAACAAAAGACGTTATTCCTTGTAGAATGAGGTTTACCGCCATCGACAAAACTGCTGAGTTCTAGTGTAGACGCAGGTATAGTTTTGTCGACACGAGTCCACTTTCGTCAACAAAACCCAGTAGTCTAGACACTCCATTACTGTCCTGCCTAGTTACCATTGGGTTAGCCTAAATAACAGGTGTGCTTCTAAATCACTGTAATCTACCAAAAAGATGCTGCACCTTAAGAATCTTGTCTTTGACACCTGCTACAAGGGTCCTGGTGCTCCGAGAGACCTTTGTGTTGGTCAGTAAGATCCTTAGAGTTGGCACCCTAAAAACAAAGCAAAGATTCTGAAATTCATTCTCCTCTTGATAACTGAGCAACATCCAAGGTTTATTCCACATCCATCAACAAGTTTCCTCCCTTGTTGATGCTATAGTTAAACAATGCACATAAACTTCAGGGACAAGCAGGGCCCCATGTATTGTACTTTTTCACAGCCACAAACTCTGCTGCATAATTAGGCTTTAGAATTATTTCATTTAAAAAAAAAAAAAAAAAGGTATCTGTGTTTTGTGATCATAAAAATAAGTTTGAAAATGTGAAGCCTCTGTCAACTGATGCAGCAGCATCTTCCTGTGTTTCTCAGACGATAACAACCCATTTTGATTTACCTACTCTGAAGCCTAGTGGTATCCATTTTGTCGTCAATATGATTAACTATTTCACTGCTGATCATTTTAGCAGAAAGCTAATTTCTCCCCCTCACAATTTATTCCCACCTCAAAAAATAGAAAGGCTATTGTACTTAAATATTACAAATAATATATTTCAATTTTAAAAAGCAACCACCTCCCTTTTAAAAAAGTTTCTGAAGCTAGTACCAGGTTCTCACCAGAGTGCTCCAGACTCTGGTTTACATCCTTCTCACCTATGGACTGCTTTAACCTAATCTGGAATAAGACAAGTGGAGAATCAATGATCCATAACATAAGCGCTTCTTCCTTTCTACTACAGGCAGTCCCCGGGTTACGTACAAGATAGGGACTGTAGGTTTGTTCTTAAGTTGAATCTGTATAAGTCGGAACTGGCAGATTCAGCCCCTGCTGAAACTGATCAGTTTCAACAGAGGCTGGATCTGGATGCCAGTTCTGACTTACATACAGATTCAACTTAAGAACCCCAGGCATCCCCAAGTCAGCTGCTGCTGAAACTGATCAGTGGCTGATTCCAGGAAGCCC